TACTAGTGTGCTCATTAGGGATCCAGAGGCCTTTGAAGCCTTCACCCAACTCACTCAATACTACACCAAGGTCTGCCCCCGGTAGCTTACCCTGTGCTGCGACAGCAGCAAACAACCGTACTCTTTCCTCACTCTCCTTCTTACTCTCCCTCTCTCTTCTACTCTCACGGCATTCCACTGCCTTTGAACACACAAAAGGGATTCACCCTAATGTATCTACACTGCTTAGTCTCCCCAACTGGCGGGGGAGCTGTAGCTTAAAACGGTAGCAATACCCGCGCAGGCAAGAAATGCTTTCTAAGGTAGTGTGTTAGCACTGTAATCCTATAGCTCAGCACGTCGTATATGCCCTTCGGGAGGCGAGATAGTGGACTTTATCCCTATTATCTAGACGTAAAATGAATACCAACCAACCAACCAAGTGCAGGGGCATACAGAGAGTGATTATCTTCTCCTCTCTGCAGAGATCTTGGAAAGCCACTAAGCAGTGGCTCTTATGGCTGTTAATAATAACTAGCTAGTAGACCCTAACTAGCTTTGCATGCGTATTAAAGTAGGAGCGCTAGGCAAGCACTATATTATTATTAGTCTAGCTAGTAGGACTAATATTAATAACCTAGTCCTGTAGGAGGTCCTTAGTAAACTAGTTAGAGATAAGATCCTTACCTGCAAGGATAAGGAATAGTAGGATAACCTTCCCTATTAACCTAACACCTTATACTAGGGTAACCTGTAGTAGTCTGGCCAAAGGCCAATAAAGGATATCTACTTCCTAACAACTTCTGCTAAAAAGCATGCACAAGTTAACTAGACGTCTAGTTAACTGCGTAGATAATATATATCCAGCTTAAGCCAAGCCGGCTAAGCTAATGTAACCAGCTAGCTCTAGCTCTTCTTTAGCTTTAGAGTCTAGACCGTTACATAACCTACTTATAATTACTAGGTTAGATCTTTTTCTGCTTCCTAGGCTTCTCTAAGATTATTACTACTAGCTGTAATAAGATCTTACCTATTAGGAAGCTAGACTTACTAATGTTGTACACATCCTTGTCTATAATACTATACTTTGCCTTTATAGACTAAACAAGCGTGAACTAGGGCTAGATAACTACTGGGTCCTTGCAGGCAGCCTGCTAGCGATTGTATAGGTAGGTCCACTGCTTCTAGAGCTCTAGTGTACGCTTTACTAAGTTGTTAACCTAGTTCTTGCTAACAGGCTTTGCGCTGCGCTCTCTTAGCAGTTTATCTACTATATCTTGTATATCTGCCTTTAAGGAAGGTAGGCCACGCGCAGACTCCTTAAGTATACATAGTATAACTGCCTCCTCTTCTAGCTTTATAAGGTAATTTGTATTTAGCTTACAGTTACATTAAAAGTGTGTTCTATCGCGTTAGTTTAGATTATTTGTTTAGGCACTTTGTAGACTATCTTAGCGCGTTAGATACTTTAAATTTAGTTTTTTAAGATATTAGATATAGCAAGCTGTACATCAGCTTCAGTATACAGTGTAGGAGCTTGTTATGGTTGAGACATTACGCGCTGTTGTTGCGCTGGCGTTCTGGCAGCGAGAGTGCGGTGCTCGCTTGGGTGCGGCGCTTGCTTCTGAAACACTTTATAGTAAGTACTAATAGTGCGCGTTTTTATATGCCTATTACAGTGCTTTAACTAGTTAAACCTAAGCCTGTTAGCAGTCTAACTATTTTTAGAGATGCTAATAACCTAGTCTTAGGGCAGGGTATTGTCCTTGTACTAGTTAGACAGGTGTTAGCAGGCTTTAAAGATAACATAGGCTGGAATAGCCTATCCTGTGGCATTAATGCCCTTAATAACTATTACCCACTCCTAGTTGCCTGGCTAGATCTGCTTTGCTTGTCCTAGCTTCTCTGCATCTATAACAACTACTCTAGTGCTTATCTAGCCTATTATAAAGCCTGTCTTGTTAAAGTTGTACGTGTTGTTGTCTAGGATGCTATACTTAGCTTTAATATTAGATATAACGTGTTTCCCATGCGAGCGGGCACCCCAAGCGAGTCGGCAGCTCTTCCCCACCAACACGCCTGCGCGGCGACAACGCGTAATGTCTTAACAACGCAACGTCCAAAAGTCCTATAACAAAGGAAATGTATTCCTTGCTATCTCTGATATAAAATTAAAGCGAATATAGAGTGAGAAACGCGCTGCAGAGATCTATAACGTCCCTTGAACGACTATCTAAGCGCGACGCGCTGGACAACGCGCCTAAAGCAATTGTGAGCCAAACTTAAAGCGCCTTACAAAGCTAGAAGAGGAGGTGGTTCTACACAATATACTTAACGCGTCTCTACGCGGACTACCACCAATAAAGGCTCTTGTGCGAGATATGGCTGATAGACTGCTAAGAGAGCGGGATAGGAAGCCTGTTGGCAAGCACTGGGTAGACAACTTCATTAAGCGTACACCTGAGCTTAAGAAGCGCTGGAGCCGGCCGTATGATCGCCAGCGTGCTGCCTGCGAGGACCCAGCGCTAATCCGGCCCTAGTTCAAGCTTATTCAATTAATAAAGGCGAAGTATAGTATCCTTAATAAGGATACCTAGAACTTTAATAAGACTAGCTTCCTAATAGGCAAGATCACATCTTAGCTCATAGTAACAGGCTTAGATAAGCCTAGGAAAGCAAAGAAGCTACAGCCTAGCAATTGCAAGTAGACTACCCTGGTACAAGCTGTCAGCGCGACAGGGAAGCGCATCCCACCCTTTATCATCTTTGCTAGCAAGGTGCTCATCTCTACCTAGTTTGAGCTAGGTATACCACGCGACTAGATTATCTAAGTAAGCCTAAACAGCTAGACAAACAACAAGCTAGCGCTTGCCTGGCTTAAACACTTTAATACGCATGCAAAGCCCGTAGGAGCATAGAGACTGCTGATTATTGACGGCCACGAGAGCCACTGCTTAGCTGATTTCCAAGAATACTGCAAGGAGAATAAGATAATTGCCCTCTGCATGCCCCCTCACTCATTGCATCTACTGCAGCCTCTTGACGTCGCCTGCTTCTCGCTGTTGAAGCGCAGCTACAGCAACGGCATCTCAGCCTTGGCGCGCAACCACATCCACCATATCAGCAAGGAAACCTTCCTACTAGCCTTTAAAGCTGCATATAAGTAGACATTTACAAAGGAGAACACTCAGGCAGGTTTTAGAGGTGCTAGGCTAGTTCTACTAAACCTAGAGGCAGTGTTGTTAAAGCTTGATGTGAGGTTGCGCACGCCAACTCCACCACAGCGCGACAACGCCGCGTGGGAAGCGAAGACGCCGCGCAACGCTAAAGAGGTAGAGGCTCAAACTACGCTTATTTAACAGAGGATGCAAAGACGCTCAGGTTCTACTGCAAGCTCCCTTGACGAGCAGGTACGACAGCTGAGTAAAGGCGCTCAGCAGATTGCGCATAATATGGTGTTGCTACAGGAGGAACAGGCGCGCATGCAAAGCGCAATTAAAGAGCTTACAAAGCGCAAGGGCTGTAAAAGGTAGTATATACAGGTAGAGGAGACCTTAATAGTTAGTAAGGTATCTAACTTAATTACTAAAAGAGAGGGTGGTAGTTATAATAATAGTAAAACGCCTGCGAAGAGGGTGCGCGCAGAGAGGCACTATAGTTGTTGTAGCAAGACTAGGCATAACTCCCGCACCTGCAAGGTAGAGATAAAGGATGCAGATAATAGCAAAGAATCTAAAGTATAATCTACTATTGCGTATAAAAGAAAATATTGTTGTAGCGTTGCGTAGTGTCGCCGCGCAGGCGTATTGGTGGGGAAGAGCTGCCGACTCGCTTGGGGTGCCCGCTCGCATGGGAAACACGTTAAGGGTAAACTAGCCCTATATAACCTTAGAGTCCTTGTAGAGGGCTTACTTGCAGTTATACTTGCAATTAAAAACTATTTTAAGCTCCTCCTAACGCAAAACAAACGTGCTGGCCCACCTTAAGCTAACAGGGGCTAAACTGCGCTCTTTTTGCAGAGAATTAGCCATATCAGCCACAGCTGCGAGCTAGGGGGACTCTCCTCGCGTAACCAGCTTAAGTATGTATGTAACAACTACCTGCTCCTTAGCAGCAGTCAGATTCTGTGAATTACCTATAGTATTAACGCGCGAAGGTTGTCTAGTAAATTAGTTGCGTAGAGTTGTTTAGGGCGCGTTGTAGAGAGCTACAGCGCATCTTACTAAGAGATTAGGGTCTTGTTAAAGAGCTAGTAGCACAAGCTGTATCTAAGCCTCTTTAGACGCGTCTTTTTAACGTAGTTGTAGAGGCATTAGTGTAGAGTTAAAGTTTTAGTGGGGTCTTAGCAAAAGTAGGCAACTTGCCCTACACCTACGTTATTATTGTCTATATATATTATACTACGCAACAAGCTTCTGTAACGTGTTTTATAAGCGAGTGCGCATTACAAGCGAGTGCGCACCCCACCAACTTTTTGCAACGCGTGAACTTATACTATCATGGCACCCCCAACTCAAGCCCAGCCAGCTTCTTGTGAGGCTAATATACACCTTGCTATCTTAGCTCTCTAGCGAAATCAAATTCAGAGTGAGGCAGTCGCTGCATAGACGTTTAATGTCTCTCGAGACACACTCCACCGCCGACTTGCTGGCAAGCCTGCCCGACGCAATTGCCAACCCAACTCAAAGAAGCTCACTAAGCAAGAAGAGGAGGTGATAGTCAGCTATATACTCGATCTAGATCGACGTGGATTTGCGCCTACGTACGCAGCCGTACGTGATATAGCTAATAAGCTGCTGGCTGCGCGCGGCGCTGGTCAGGTCGGCGTCCACTGGCCGCGCAACTTTGTCAAGCGTACAGACAGTCTCACAACGCGTTTCAATCGAGCGTACGACAGGCAGAGAGCTCTATGTGAGGATCCTGTACTGATTAGGAGCTGGTTTAAGCTTGTAGAGCAGACAAAGGCTAAGTATGGCATCCTTGACGAGGACGTCCACAACTTTGACGAGGCTGGCTTTATGATGGGCAAGATCACAACCCAGCTTGTTGTGACAGGATCAGAGAGGAGAGGCCGGCCGAAGGCTATCCAGCCTGGCAATCGCGAGTGGGTCACGGTGATCCAGGGAATCAATGCTGCTGGCTGGGCTATCCCACCGTTCATCATCTTTGCTGGCCAGTACCACCTTTCTGCCTGGTATAAGGAAGACATCCCACGCGATTGGGCTGTTGCAGTCAGTGAGAACGGCTGGACAACCAACGAGCTTGGAGTTAAGTGGCTGAAGCACTTTATTAAGCATACAGATGGCAAGGTAGTTGGGGCGCGCCGGCTGCTGATCCTGGATGGCCATGAGAGTCACCACTCTCTTGAATTTCAGGAGCTCTGCAAGAAGAACAATATCTGCACGCTCTGCATGCCGCCTCACTCATCCCACCTGCTGCAGCCGCTTGACGTTGGCTGCTTCTCGCTGTTGAAGCGCGCGTACAGCCGCGAGATTGAGGCGCTGATCCGCCACCACATCAACCACATCACGAAGCTTGAATTCTTGCCAGCATTTAAGGCAGCGTTCAATCAATCGTTTACCTCAGCCAATATCTGCTCAGCTTTTCGAGGTGCAGGCCTTGTACCTCTCCAACCAGACGTTGTACTGTCAAAGCTTGACGTGCAGCTGCGTACACCTACTCCAGCTGCTCTGCCAGAGGCTCCCTGGCAGGCTCGTACGCCGAGCAACGTACGTGAGCTTGAGGCTCAATCAACGTTGATTCGTGAGCGCGTAAGAAAGCATAAGAGCTCCTCGCCAGCTTCAATTATTGACGCGATTGACCAGCTCAAGAAGGGCGCTGAGGTGATGATGCTCTCAGCTGAGCTGATGCGCGATCGGATCACTGGCCTTGAGAGAGCAAATGAGGCAGCGTCTGCACGTAAACAGCGCAAGAAAAAGCGTATACAGCAGCGTGGGGTCTTAACAAAGGGAGCTGGCGAGGATATCCTTACTCAACGTGAGGCTAATCAGCAGATTGCCTGTGAAGAGCGTCAAGGAGGAGAGCAATCAGGTGTTAGCCGCCAGGCTCTTGCGCGCTGTAAGAGGTGCAGAGAGACTGGGCATAACTCTCGTACATGCAAGAAAGATACTTTAGATACTGTTTAATCTACTCTATTAATATCTACATACTATCTCATCTTGTTGTTGAGATATACGCTTGTAGAGGTGCGCAAAGTTGGTAGGGTGCGCACTCGCTTGTAATGCGCACTCGCTTATAAAACACGTTAATAGAAAATTAAACAACATAACTTTAACGCTGCCCACACATACAATATAGATAAGAAAGGCTTCATGACTAGTATTATTAGACGCTTAAAATAAGTGTTTAGCAAGAGGAAATTTAACAAGGGCAAGGTCAGAGCATCCCTCTAGGATAGTAATTGCAACTGGGTGACGGTGATAGCATGCGTGTGTAGTAATAGAGGAGTGTTGCCCCCCAGCGTTATCTACGCTGCGTCTGGAAAAGCAGTACAATCAAGCTAGGTCAACAATATAGACCCTAGAAAACACTAAGTACACTTCACAACTAGTCCTTCTAGGTAGAATAACAACAATATAGGCCTTGCCTGGCTTAAACAGGTGTTTAATTGCTACACTAAGCAGAAAGCACAGAGAAAATGGCGCCTCCTAATCCTTAATAGCTATAGACCCCACGTAACGATAGATTTTATAGCTTATTATAGCAACCACAAGATACTCGTGTGTATACTCTGCCCCTATTAAACACACACTCTCCAGCTATTAGATATTGTCTGTTTCAAGCCTTTGTCATCCAGCTACAAGCACTACCTTACTATCTTTACCCACAAGAGCTAGGGCTTGCTCCCTGTAAAGAAGAGCAACTTTTTCTCCCTATTCTTGAAGGCCTGGGTAGCTACATTCACTGCAGAGGTAGTCCTCTGTAGGTTTAAGGTTGTAACAACGCAGGCAAGAAGAGAGATATCCAGAATAGGTGTGAATCTACTACAAGGCATATAGGAGTGCTAGGATGATAAGAACACTAGGATATATTCTCTACACCTAACGTAGATTATTACTAAGCCAGCTATATCACCAAACTAGCTACTTTCTCTTAGCACGACTACCTTTTACCCTAACACAACATGCCTTAATAATAATAACTTTAGAATACTACAAGAGAAGGTAGAGTTGTCCTTACTATCTAGGCCTTCTACGCTAGCTAATTTCACAGTATCTACAGCGCTGCTAGAGTATTAAACATACCTTATTAGTAGGTCTCTAATTGCCTTTGCAATATTATATTTAAACTAGACGTACACACTAATTGCTAGAAACTTACTATACTAGAGGAGCAGACAATTGTCTAGTATATACTTTAGCTTAATTCGCAAGGATTTGCGCCCTAGCTATATAAGGTGACAGATATAGCTAATAAGAAACTTAGTGTACGTAGTAAAGAGCCTGTTAGTAAACTATAGGCTAGCAGCCTTGTAACGTGTTTAGACAAGCTTAAAGTAGCCTTTAATTAAGCTAAGGATAGACAGAGGATACTATAGGAAGATTCTAATATAATTAGTATATAGTTTAAGCTAGTAGAGGATACTTAAGTTAAGTATAGTTTTTGTAATAACAACATACACAACTTTAATAAAACTAGGTTCTAGATAGGCGTTGCTTTGTCTTTAAAGGTTGTAACAGGCTTAGAGAGATGTGCTCAGCTAGAGCTTGTTTAGCTAGGTAATTGCGAGTAGGTTACTGTTATCCAGAGCATCTGCGCCACTAGGTATGTAACCCTGCCTTTTATTATCTACAAAGGACGCGTCTATATCTCTGCCTAGTATAAGGAGACAAATATACCCTATAATTAGAAGCTCTTAGTCTCTAAGAATAGTTAGATAAATAGTATACTTAGCCTTATGTAGTTAAAGCTCTTTAATAAACAAATAAAGATATATTAGGTAGGAGTGTATAGGTTGCTTATCTTAGACAGCTATAAGAGCTATCTTAACTAGGAGTTAAAGGACTATTACCTAGAGAACTAAATCCTTACTCTCTATATACTACCTTACTTATTACACATCCTCTAGCTACTTAACATAGTCTGTTTCTTACTATTAAAGCACAAGTACTCCTAATATATTTAAGACTTAGCACACTAACACATCTTCTATAATAATAAGGAAGGCTTCCTACTAGCCTTTAGGGACGTGTTCCTTAATATATTTACAAAGGTTAACTACTAAAAGGCCTTTAAGGTATTAGGGCTTATTCCTACTAATATACAGGTAGTGTTAGAATGCCTTAAAGTGCAGCTGTATACCTTACTAGCAGTACCTCTACCTAAAACGCTGTAGTAATCTAAGACACTAAGCAATACACACAAGTTTAGGTCTTAATCTAAGCTTATAAGCAACTCCTTCTAACTATTACTAAGTATAGCATAAGAGGGGTTCTTAAAGCTTATAAAAGGGGCTAAAGAGATGCTGCACAAAAACATCCTTATTAAGGCCCACGTGCAAGAGCTTAAAGAGCAATTAGTAGTAATAACTAAGAGAAAATCGCGTAAGAGAAAGCAGATTCAGCATAGTGGCACACTTAAGTATAGCCTAGCAGCATCGCAGGTAGCTACTGAGGCGTGTGTAGCAGCTCAGCCATCTAAGAAGACTTAGGGTAGACGTAGTTAACTAGGAGCTTAGTTAACTGTTTAGCGCTGTAGAAACTGCAGCAAGACTAGACACAACACAAAAATATACTAGGAGGGTGTAGAAATATCTTCTAAATCTAATGCAAGCACATAGTATGCTAGGTTACTTTTTAATAGCAAGTAGTTATAGTTGTAGTAACTTGTGTTAGTTGTGCTAAGAGAAAATGGCCAGTTCAGTGATATGGCTAGCTTGGTGATAATCTACGTTATAAGTCTTGTACAAAAGGATATAGAAAAACCACTCTACAATGCTATAGTTCCTTGCTCCTTATATATAAGGGTTTAGTGGCAGTTTAGTGCGAGCTTATGCCATGCAACAAGGGCCATGGTCATGAGTTGTTGGAACCGTATCCTAGTGGTATCGGGTTACTGTTCGTAGCGCGTTGTTACACTGTACAGGTTAGCGCAGCTGCCACGACGAGCAGTGTAGAGGAATCCCTAGACTTGAACAATTCTAATTTAGAAAACTAGAACCTCCTGTCCTAAGTTGTGGATAGGGGTTGATTAGCAAGGTTAACTAGGATAGTAAGTTATTGTCACACAATCGAGCACCTCAATTGAGGGTGTGGAGCTTGCCGGCCCGGATAAACCGGGACGAGCACCTCTGGGTCTAAACCAGAAGCTCGTTTCATCCGTTCTTCGTTGACGAGCTACCGGATAATCGGCCAACTGCTCGCTTATCTCGGATCATGTGATCCACACATATTTCCTATGTATATAAACCTTACTTTCGTGATAGGATAGATAGCCACTGATCAAATACTTTCGATCACCTGAGTATAGTCCCACAGGCTCCGTGACAGTTATTCTAGCAGTTCTATTAGCAATAGCTGTTATGTTATAAGACTTTGTTCTTATAATCTTTCTCTAGCGTATTTCCTTCTTAAATGTAGCGCTATGCTTCCCAAAGCTTTGTCATCATAATCTCCTAAAAGAGAGGATTAGAATGGTGTGCTTACAAAGCCTGTATCTCCTCTCCTTCTTAAGATATGTTTTTCTCTATTTTTAGTAACTAGAAATGTTGTAGATCCTCTGCTTACAAATAGAGTAGCCTACTTTGTATATGCTAATGTATATAATTACGTATGCACCTACGTAATCTTGCTTGCATATGTAGCAATACTAAGCATAGATTACTAAGTAGATCTACCTAGAAGAGTCTAGAACGTTCTGCTTAGAAATACAGACAGAGGAGAGGAAGCATAAATACCTTAGCCTCTTCCCCCTCTGTTTGCTCTATACCTAGCCTAGGAATTTCTACCTAGTATCTAATATAATAACTTATCTATTATATTACATAACCCTACCTTACCTCTATTAGGCTATACACTTTTTATTTAGACAAAGCTAGTCTAGATTTGTCTAGGTCCTTCTAGACTAGGAAGAAAGTAGTCTAGTCCTTCCCCTACTTTCTTTATAAATTATGTTAGGCTTGCAATTACGTTGTAAAGTAGTTCTAGTAAGTAAGTTACTAAGGGTGCTTTAAGACACATTGTAGATTGCAGCAGCGCGTTGCTAGGAGAGTGTCGCGTCTTTTTAGATAGCCTGTAAGGCAAGCTATATATTAGCCTTATTTAGAGGCTTTTTTGTGTTGTTGCGTTAAGACATCAAAGGTAGAGTGAAGTTTGGCGTGGTCTTGGCAAAAGTGACCAGCTCGCTTGGGTGACCGGCTCGCTTGTGAAGTACGTTATTATTACATCTTTATTACGTATATGTTACCCTACCTTACCTTACCTAATGTAAAGTTATAAGACTTTGTTCTTATAATCTTTATCTAGCGTATTTCCCTCTTAGGTATAGCGCTATGCTTACCTAAGCATTGCTATTGTAATCTCCAAGAAGAGAGGATTAGAATGGTGTGCTTACGAAGCCTGTATCTCCTCTTGTTCTTAAGATATGCTGTTCTCTATTTTTAGTAACTAGAAATGTTCTAGACCCTCTGCTTACAAATAGAGTAGCCTACCCTGTAAGATGCTGACGTATACGATTACGCATGCACCTACGTAATCTTGCTTGCATATGCAGCAATACTAAGCATAGATAAAGTAGACCTACCTAGAGGAGTCTAGAACGTTCTGCTTAGAAATACAGACAGAGGAGAGGAAGCATAAATACCTCTAGCTCTCCCCCCTCTGTTCGCTCTGTACCTAGCCTAGGAATCTCTACCTAGTATCTAATATAATAACTTGTCTATTATATTACAAAACCCTACCTTACCTCTATTAGGCTATACGCTTCCTATTTAGA